TCTTCATTGCCACGTGTGGGCTTTCTCTAGTTGCGGAGAGCGGGGGCTACTCTTTGTTGTGGTGCACGGGCTTCTCATTGTGGTGGCTTCTCTTGTTGCGGAGCACGGGCTCTAGGCGCGTGGGCTTCAGTAGTTGTGGTGCCAGGCTCAGTAGTTGTGGCACGCAGGCTCAGTAGTTGTGGCTTGCGGGCTCTGTAGTTGTGGCTCGCAGGCTCTAGAGTGCAGGCTCAATAGTTGTGGCACGTGGGCTTAGTTGTTCTGCGGCTCTGCAGGATCTTGCATCAGGGCTCGAACCCGTGTCCCCTTCATTGGCAGGCGGATTCTTAACCACTGTGCCACCAGGGAAGTCCCACAGCATTGTTATAAGTGAAAGATGAGGCAGGAGGGTCAGAGAAGGAAATGTGGCCGTGGAAGCGGAGGGTCGAGTGATGTGAAAAAGGGACCATGAGCCGAGGAGTGCTGGCAGCCTCCAGAAGCTGGAGAAGACAAGCAGATTCTCCCCTGGAGTCCCCAGAAGGAACACAGTCCTGCTGACACCTTGATTTTAGACTTCTCACCTCCAGAACTGTAAGATAATACATTTGTATTTCTTTAAGCCACTAAGTGTGTGGTGACTTGTTACAGTAGCAGTGGAAAAATAATACAGTCCTTCTGCAAATTGAATTAATCATCTGGTAGAATCAAGTGGAAGAACTATTTCATGTCACAGAACACAAGAACAAAGAGAAGGAAATCACTAATGAAATAATAGACATGGACTACAGAGCTAATATAGGTAGTCTAAGTAACAGACATCTAGGAGAAGAAAAAAGAACAAGTAGAAAAAAGTAAATAAATAATAGAACTTGTCAGTGAGCTGAGGAAAGACTTGAGTGTACATTAAAAAGGTCACAGAGTCATAGGCAAGATTATTAAGCAGGAAATAAACAGATCCAGAGTTATATGATTCACGAATTCCAAGAATAATGATGATAATAATAAAAAAGATTTACAAGCTTTCACATAGAAAAATTACTTATATAGGAGAGAGAGACCAACATCAAACTTCCCTTTTATAACCTGTTAAGGATTATTAAATAATCTTAGTAGTCTTAGGGGGGCGGGGAAGATTGCAATTAAAAACTCATATATTTCCAAAGATGTCATATATCTATTAGGGCACAAAAAGACATTCATTTATTTATTCATTTTATAGCTGTATATTTAGTAACTAGGTACTATTCTAGTCATTAAGGATATGGTGGCTTCCATATCATTGGAAAACTTTAGTAATAATCTCAAACTAAATATTTTTAAAACAGTCTCAGCACAGTCCAGGACTTAGGAGGGGTGAATGGAAAGCAGTGAGAGAATGGTTTTTAAAAAGTGTTGTGAAAGCTTCACCTTGGTGTGGGGTAAGTTACCTAGTAAGGTTTCCCTGTGGGGTTAGGTTGAAAAAAACATAAGTCTAAGTATGTGTGTTAAGAATGAGAAAGTAACCACTGAAGTGTCAAATTAACATGGGTAAAAGAATAAATAGAAATTCCACTTGCTAGGAAAAGAAGAAATAATGAACAAAATAAAATAAACAGAAATTATGAAATTACATGAAAGAAGAAAGCACCAGTCTTCATAATAGACGAACTTGGGGATGGCAGAATTCAGTCCCTGGATGTCACTGTTGAGCTGCTGGAAAACCCACTTTGAAGCCCACTCTGTGTGTAAACTTCCAATTACATGAAATTATTTTATTTTTTAAGGTACTTTGAGTTGAGTTTTCTTACTCAGCAGAAAGCATCCTAATAATACCCCCCCCATTTCACAGATGAGAACACTGAGGGTCAGAGAAGCATAAACCTAAAAGAAGGAACACTTGAGAGGAGAAAACCATAAAAAATTTTTGAAATTTAGCAGACCTGAGAGAATTTTAGAAGTAACTAATTTAGCAGACCCAAGAAAGCTGAATCCTAAGCCATCTGTGCTTGATTTACATTCCAGAATCCCCTAAAGTCCCCCAAAGTGGTACTACCAGACACCTATGAAAGTGGGGATAAAGTGGAACAAGTTAAGATAAGGAGGATTGGTGAAAAGCCTGCTTATGAAGCGATTTGATCCCCACATCTTTCCCCTCCATCCAGGGTACCGGACCACTGCCTCTTCCCCACCTCAGCAGTAGAGGGAGGGTAATTCTCCAGGGAGGGTGAGACTGTGGCCTGGGCACAGATTGGGGGAGTGGAGGATGGGATGAGTGCTTACAAACTAAATGTGTGAGCTCCCATCTCCCTTCACCCAGACAGCCAAACTTTAATACCCCAAGAAGGAGATCAGAGAGTCTTATCTGGGGAATCTGTCTACCCAGAAGGAAAGTCTCACACCCTGCTACCAGTTGGGTGTCCATGAAAAACCCAGCTGGATTACCCAACAGGAAGTCTTGTCAGGTGCGACCCACGCAATCTTAGAGTTTCAAATGATCATTTTTAGTGCTTCCTTCTTAAATATGAACAGACGACTAAGCCTTATCATACTTAAGAGAAAAACCTCTCATGGGAGAGTAGAGGCCAAAACAAACAAACAAACAATAAAGAACACTAAGGGGAGACGGAATATGCACAGAATAAGAAAAAAATAAAATCTATCATCAGTATCCTGGGAGAGACTGAGATTGCATCCATGAGACGGGCCAGGATTCCATTAAAAATGGAATAGCTAGTGAACAGAAAGGGCCTCTTGAAATTTAGAAATGATAATGTATCTAAAAGATTGGAAGTTAAAGAAAATAGGTCAACAGTGACAACCATAGGGAAGAGTTAAGAATAGTAGAGGACCATTTCAGGAGATCTAACATCCAACTAATAGAATTCCAAGTGGGGAGAGGAGAGAAAACAGGAGGGAGGAAATGACATCATCAAGAAAATTTCTCAGCTCTAAAGGACAAGAACTTGGAGATTGAAGGTGCTCACTCAGTGCCCAACACGGAACATGAGAGTGACTCACCGACACTGGGACAAAGGCCGACACGTTCTCTCAGGGAGAATGAGAAGCAGTTCACACTCAGGCCCAGGAGGAAGAGGAGCTTCAGACTTCTCAGAGCTGACACTGGACGCTGGGGGGCGGTGGAGCAGTGACTTCAGTGATTCTGAAGGGTAATTAATTTTGAACTAACTAATAAAGAATAATAAACTCGTAAACACTAAATAAAAAGGTTCCCCTGCTATTTCTTGATTTTCCAGCATTAAGTTAACTATTACCTGACAGCTATGGAAGATGAGGGTTTAAGTCCCTGTAAACCACACACCTTTTCATTCCTCATTTATAGTTTTTAAATATAAAAAAATAATTTATATTTAACCAAACTTTCATATTCAGACTTGTATAATTTCAAAAAAATTACCTCCCATTCACCTTTTCTTTGTAAGCTTCTGGAGGAAATAAAGATATTTGGGGGGAAGGTTTAGCTTCGAACTAGTAGTAAATGCATAAAATAAGCAAATGTAAAAAAAAGATTAATTCTGGGGGTGGGAAGAAGAATGTTATGGAAGAAAGGAAAGCTAATCATAGTTTATTCCATGGGTAGGTGGCAGAACTTATATTGTAATAATGTAGGCATTGAATATTGCTCTAAAATTAGCAATACAATGATATATGAAAGTGGGGGATGAATGTAAAGAAAAGCATTAAAGACACTGAGGGTCATGATGCAGTGATAAAAGGTGTGATTCATAAGGAACATGTTACAGTCTTATAGGAGCCCCCAAATCTTATCAAATACAAACGCATAATGAAAAAATTCTTAAAAACTGAGAAAAAACTATTCAAAGTACAGTTGTAGTGGGGGATTTTAATTTGTCCATTTCAGAATTTAGCAGATAAAACAGAAAGAGTATGGACATATACAAACCACTGAAGAATCAAGCAGAAAATATGAATAAGGTGTACATGTTAAAGTAACAATGGGAAAATATTTTTTACCCATTATATTGGCAAAAATTCAAGAGTTACAACATCCACTGCTGGGGAAGAGATTGGAAAACACAGATCTTCCTTGACTTACGATGGGTTACGTCCTGGTAAACCCATTATAAGTTGAAAATATCTAACCTACCAAACACAGCTTAGCCTGGCCCACCTTAAGTGGGTGCTCAGAGCACTTACGTTAGCCTACAGTTGGGCAAAATCGTCTGACATCAAGCATATTTTATAATAAAGTGTTCATAGAAATGTAAATTATTATAATAACTTATTACAATATATCACAGTATTTGGGGGGAAGTAACTTTTAAATATCTCTTAAAACTCTAAATGCTCATATCCTTTGACTCGGCAGTCTGAATTTTGAGACTCTGTCCTACAAAAATGATAGAACCAGAAAGTACTGGATGTTCATAGAAAAATGTTTGTAGTGGCAAAAACTTGAGGAAAACCTGAATATTCATAAACGGAATAATTCTGAATAAAACTGAAGGACATCCATATTCTGGAATTATTATTCAGCTGTTAAGTTGAGGCTGTCTATCAGTGTGGACATATCATTAACTAGGAAAGCAAGTGGTGAAATAATGTCTGATTGGACCCATTCTTATAAAATACATAGTAAAAATCATGAGTATGATTTGTATGTATGTTGTGAGTAGGTACATGAAGGTGAATAAAACCTCACCCAAGCTTTTGACAGTTGTCGCGTTAGGGAGGTGGGATGGAGAGGAGGAGATCTTGATTTTCTTTCACTTTTTATAATAAAGCACATGATGCTTTTGTAGTTAATGAAAAATTAATAATAGGTCAAGTAAGAATTTTACCAGAGTCAGAAATTTTCTAGGAAACATGTAGTGTTTAATCAGCAAGAACTTGGAAGTTTTAAGGAGTAAAGAAATGGATGTACTTTTCTGTGAGTCACAGCAGCCCTTGTTTTCATTATTGGTGATCAGGATTTGCAGTGTGTTTTTTATATTTTCATTAAATGTGAGGGCTGCCTGTTCTGTGGTTCTGTTGTTATGCTTCTGAAATGTTTTTGCTTTTGATAGGACTGTCTTCATCAGTGGAACAGAATATAATGGAGTTGGAACAAGAACTTGACAATGTAAAGTCTCTTAAGACAAAATTAGGTATTGTACATTTTTTTCCTTGACTTATGTATTGGTCTTGGTTTCTTATTAAAGACTTTACTGTAGTCTGGAATATTTTTTAAAATTGTGAAATCTCTATGTTACAAGCTTTCAGTCTGTCCAAAGCCGTTAATAAAGAATGTCTTTTAGTTTGGAGAGAGGATGAGCATGTATTTATTCACTTTATGTTGTTCTTGTTTTGTATGTGTACAAAATGACTTTTCAAAGATGATGATATTCCAAAATATCACTCCACTATCTTTTCACTTGTATTATTTCTGATAAGTAGTCTTCTGTTATTCTTATCTTTTAATGTCTTATTTCTTTGTATTTATCCTTCTTGAGATCTGTGGCACTTCATGAGTGTGTGGCTTAATGTCTTTCATCCACTTGGGAAATTGTTGGCCATCATCTCATCAAATATTGCATCTGCTCATTCTCTTTTATTTCCTCAGACTCCAGTTATATATATATGCTAGACCTTTTTACTCGTAAATCTTTTTCTTTATTTTCCCTCCTTTTTTTTTGGAAAATAAGTAAACTATTTGCAGAAATCATAATCAGTTATTTAAAAATCCCTTTGGAATCTACAGAAAAAGCTAGAATGACTTCAATTTCCATTATTATGGTAGCTCTCTGACATCTTCATACACATTTCTTTTTAAAAAATTAAGTTTGATCCATCTTTTCCAGTTGTTCATGACGTAAGGATTGGTGTGTTACAAAGTAGACCTTTGTCACTAGAAACAGAGATTTGCTTCCAGCCTTTAGAAAACTGGAAGTGTTTGACTTTGGGATGTGGGATTAGAGGGGATTCTTAACTCATGTTACCTGATATTTCCAGATCTCTATCAGTGTGTAAATCTATCATTATAATAATATGTAAATTTAAAAAAGAAATACAGATATTACTGTATTTTCAGAGTAAGCTGTATATCCACAATATGTTTCATCAATAATTGAAACGTCTTTACATTGCTAAAATTTGAGCATCACGGGATTGAGCTGTTTAATGTAGCAAACTGATTTTAAAATTCTGATTTTTATAGTTTGTGGAGGAAAATTAAAAATAATTTATGTTTTTAGGAAAAGATAATTTATGTAAGAATAATACATACTGGTTGTATTAGTAGGGAATGAAAATGTGAATCTGGGGAGAAGTTTTGGAAATTACTGAAACTTTTATTATATTTTGTTTTTCCTTCTAATAGAGAGGCGCAAAAAGGCTTCAGCATGGGAAAGGAACTTGGTGTATCCTGCTGTTATGGTTCTCCTTCTTATTGAGACAGTAAGAATTTATTTGCCTAGTTAAATAAAGCAGATTATTTTTTATTTACTTTAGCATTTGTGTATGGCAACTCCCTCAGCTAAATGGTTTCAGGTAAACTGGTTTTCTATCAACAGGATTAAAATCTGTCTATGCTTTTATTTGTAAAAACTCAAGAGAGCAAAAAATGAAATTAATGGTAATTTTGAAAAGTCCTCAAGATTATCTGTTTCCTCATAGAAGCAGGAAATTCATTCTTTTGTTTCAGTTGAAAATTAAGAAGAGACAAGGTGTTGCAGATACCCTGATCAAATTCTGTGATAAGATCTGAAAATTATATTATTAAATTAGTTCTGATAACATTTTAAGCATTTTTTAAATATGTGGAGTTGTGGGTTCCAATTGGTAAAATCGGTTAATAAGTGGATCTATATTAATAGCTTTTTTCTTAAGCTTTGAGATTATAGTACTTTGCAGAATTTTTACGAATTTATTCTGGAGTTTTTATAGTCTCATTACTTCAGGTTTATATGTAGAGTTTTGGTCTTGACTGCTTTTCCTCTATTCTGAAGCATACATTTGGTTGGTTACTTAGATTTTAATGTTATGTGTATTGACAAAATTGAAATTCAGAACTGATGGCTTACTTTTTGTGTTGTAGTCCATTTCGGTCCTCTTGGTGGCTTGTAATATTCTTTGCCTGTTGGTTGATGAAACAGCAATGCCAAAGGGAACAAGGGTAAAGTAAAATGCTTTAAAATGTCTTTCTTTTGCAAAAGTATTCTGTGTGTATAAACTGAGTGTTTCAAATAAATAAATGAAAGCATTCACCCTTCTGCATATATATACTTCAAGCTGTATGAATTTCTTTATGCAGTGAACTTTCAGAAACAGTGTTTCTAAACTATGTTTTATGTTTCTGATTTCTTACTTTGGATTGTCCGGCTTTTTATCAAGTACCAGAGTTTCCTTTTATACTTTGTATCAGAGTTTATCTTTGTCTTACTGAAATTCATATTTGTGATCCTTTAAGAAAATGTATATTTTGTGAAATAGTGAAATATAAAGAGTTTATTACATGGATTCGTTGCGTTTGCAAAGGATCCAAATACGTGGTTTTAAGGACTCATGCCTCAAAGGAGTCATTTTATGAACTTGAGTCAAAATGTTCAGTTGCTGGAGGAGAGTCAGATATACATCTTTTCATGAATTAACTTAATTATTTCTCTTGTTTAAAAATTCATGATTTTATTAAGTTCCATCAATTAGTCTATTTAAATATATTCTCCCTATGGAAGGTAGTTTCTGCTAAATATTCATATATGGCATACTTTTTCTAGGTGTCTCTATAAACTTTTGGATACTTAAAGTAGCATTTAAGTTTTGACATTTTATTACACTTTTCGAAGTTAGCACCTTTGCCATCTCCCATAGAGATGACTTCAAAACTCTTCCAGACTTTTCATGCTTTGGGGGAGGGAAAAATTTTTCCTTAACCCTTGCTAGGATCTTCTGGCTGGTCTAAGAATTAGATTTACATGAGGCAGATTAACAGGAGAAAACAGAATTTAATAACGTGTATGTGGGAGCCCGGTAAGAATATTGAGACCCCAGGACAGGCTGGGCAATTGAGGCTCATATTCCATCTAAGAGAAGGAGAAGGGGGTAGGAGCTTGGGACTTCAGGCGGGAGGAAGGCAATTCACACGGAGATGGAAAGCAGATGTTTGGTAAACAGAGGGGACCCAGAGAGGCCTTTGGTCTCCAGGTCTCGCGGATTCCGTCTACCGCACTCAGCCAATATACTCTTTGTAGCTGTCTCTGGTGATAGTGCTCTGCCTGGACCAGGCCCTTCGTCTGAATTCTTTTTGGCAGTTAAGGGGTGAGGTGGGGGTGGTGCTAAAAAGGAAGACTTACGAGTCTTCTGTTTCTTAAAAACAATCAGCCTAAAATGATCCTTATGCCAGAGAGACACCTTTTGGGGTGCAGATTTTGCTTTCCTACATGCCGCTTCTCTCTGTGAACCACACGATACACCTTTTCTCTCATAGAAAAAAGCCAATGTTTATCTTAATTCCTTTCCTTCAGTCGAAGATGAAGATACCCTCTTCTTTCAGAAGCTAATTCTTTCAGCAGTATTCTCAGTTTAGCTCCCTGCCCCCAGCCTCTTCAGGACCTTGTGCCATCTCTCACTGCCACGGCCTCTCCACCACTGCGAGCCTGCCAGCTTGCTTCAGGTCTGTCATTCCACTAACAAAAAACAGCAGTGAGCAGTCCTCCTCCATCCACAGCCTTGTCGTTGTCTTTTGTTTACACCGAAATCCATTGATCAAGCAGAAGTCAACTACTGTGTTGACTTCTATCCTTTTTTTTTTTTTTTTTTTTTTTTGCGGTATGCGGGCCTCTCACTGCTGTGGCCTCTCCTGTCGCGGAGCACAGGCTCCAGACACGCAGTCTCAGCGGCCATGGCTCACGGGCCCAGCCACTCCACGGCATGTGGGATGCTCCCGGACCGGGGCACAAACCCGCGTCCCCTGCATCGGCAGGCGGACTCTCAACCACTGCGCCACCAGGGAAGCCCTCTATCCATTTTTTAACCCATTTTCTTATACCACATACTAGGTGAGGCCCAAGCCCTGTGGTACATTTTTGTATCATTCCTTTCGTGCATTGTACAGAAGGACTTATATGTGGTATATGCTCTTTTTATGATTGTGTAAATAAATCAGATCATCTTAATCTTGCCTGTAGGCCTTCTCTTGAGACAGAGAATATTTCCAAAGTGTTTTCTGTCCCAGTTAATAAGCTTTCTGTTAGCATTATTCATTTTTTCTTCAAAAGATTGACAAAAGTTCATAAATTCTTTGTCCATTACCTTCTTTATATATGAAATTTCCATGGTATTCTAACTTCTTCATGCCTGTATTAGGTTGTGTAAATAATATGTGATATTATTTATTGGTTTTTTTTTTTATTAAGCTGACTTTATATTCTTAATTATCCTGGTATATCTGTTAGATGTAATTGAAGCTGATAGCAAAGGAGTAGTTTGTATTCAGAGAGTTTCTTTAATTAGTAAGCTTTGAAAACATTGTTCCTACTTAAGTAAGAAATGAGTTTTTGCCTGTCTGGCCTCGTTAATAAATATTACTTTTTCTACTTGTTTTGTTAAGTTCTAGATAAAGATAGGTTTTGAGAATAGGTATGATGTTTTGGAAAAAATTTATGGCATTGCATTTGGAAAATCGGTGTTAATTAAATCCCTGAATTCCCAAGGAAGATTTAGGGAAAGGAAGCTTTCAAGAGTGGTAACAGGATATGTGCATTCACTTTCTTTCTGTGCTTAGCTTCCTTTTGACATATTTTAATTGTATAGTTTTTATATGTTGCCTCAGTATTCAAACAATTATTTGTTCTATTCTTATTATACTATTATATTTTTAAAAAGTTTCTTCCAAGAATATTTAGGATTTAACAATAAGCATAATCATATCATCTTGATAAGTAACTTAAATTACATTTGAGATAAATCAGAAATGTTTTGAGCTTGTTAAAAGTGTTAACATGTGGTTGAATTAGTTGATGAATTCAGTCTCGTCACATTTTATTTTCCTTTGAACGTCTAGATGTTACTCCAGGGTATTAAACATTCCTAATTTCAACTGTCCTATATTTATGAGACAACAATTTTAGGGAAACCAAATATAATAGTGTCATTGAATTCTGAAAAGTGTTTTTTTTTCCCCCAGGGGCCTGGAATAGGAAATGCTTCTCTTTCTGCTTTTGGTTTTGTGGGAGCTGCACTTGAAATCATTTTGATATTGTATCCTTTCTTTAACTGAACTTCTGTCTGTTAACAAGTTTTCTGTCTAGTTTTCTGGGACAGTGGTAATTTACTAAGACACTCTCCTGGAAGAAAAAACAAGTCAGTCTTCCTCAAGCACTCCAAGTGGCATTTTGTTTTGTTTTGTTTTTCCTTTCGGCCTTAAGACATTTTGGAGACAATTGAGAACTTAAGGAAACAATTCTTTGGAGAGTTTTTCCTTGATTCTCACAGCTATCTTATGGTGTCCTCTGTTGTTGGTTTCTATAGCCTCCGATTTTTTGGAAACTTTATTCCCAAGAAGGATGACACAACGATGACAAAGGTAAGGTAAAGCCTTAGGTGACTGTGCCTCCCTTTTGCCTTCCAAGACAGACTGTTTTATTTAGTAATCGCAGTGAATGGTTCATTTGCGGTTCTAGGTATTTGTTTGTAAGTTGCGTAAACACACACACTGGAAGATTTTCAAAATGCTGAATGAGTGGGAAAAGGATGTGCTCTGTTTAATTTGGATGGCATCCATTCACTTGTAAATGCATAGAACCGCAGAGCTTGTTAACTAGCTATAGACGGCTCCTGAAAGGACTCTTTTTCCTACAAAGAAAACGTATTGCTAATGAGTAACTTTGATTGTGCTGACTGTACTTCAGGGAACTTGTTTGAAATCTGAAGAACTTAGTTGCTACAAGTAGTGGAGACAAAGTATTTCAAATTTGAATAATTAAAGCAAGACGGAAGAGTTCTATTCAGAAACATTTTGTAGTCTGAGGCTAATTTGACTTTCTACAATATGTCATTGGCTTTGGAATAACAAAGGCTGTTATCTTATATAGTGACTGCATTTGTAAAATATTCCCACAGGCTGACAATGAAGAATAACAAGAGCTGCTGGCTTCTTTTCTTTTTTAATTATATATTCCATATTTTCAGTTTATTCTAAAGGGGAGAAGTTATTTTTATATATCTTTATCTAAAATGCTATGGCTTCTTGAGATACTTAGCATCTAGTTTAAGTAGTCATAAGTACTAAGTAGTATTTTCAGCATCTCTTAATATGAAAGAATAAGTATAGGATACAGTGAAAATTACTAGAATTTAGGTGTTTTGGATTTCTAGCTTTTTGGTATTAAATCTTATAATTTAAACATTATCTATCTTGAGCAGTAGTCTTGGCTTTAAAAGTAGAGTCAGAAGTATTAAAAATATTAATTTTTACTTGTTAGGCAAACCTTTTTGAAATCATCAACCTCAGTCAATAATGTAAAATGCATTGTCTGAGGTGTGAAGTAACTTAAGTGTTCTATAACTTTATATTTGTGTCAGGTACTGTAAATATCTTCTAGAACCCACAGATAGAACTTTAAATGTTTGTAGAAAAGTTTCTATTCTCTTTATTTTCTATATTGAATAGTGTCATTCAGAAGTTAGCAAAGAACAGTAGGTAACTGAAATGTCCAGTAGCTTGCCAGAATGTGAATGGATTTTATTTATCCGTATACTGTGTAACTGCCCAATATTCTTTCTGATTTCTCATAACAGATCATTGGGAATTGTGTGTCAATCTTGGTCTTGAGCTCTGCACTGCCTGTTATGTCAAGAACACTGGGTAAGTTTAAATGAGAACTTTTCATTTAAAGTCAGTACCTTTTTAAGTATCAAACTTCTTGCTAAACTTGTAGTTTCTAAACTGTTTTTCAAAGAGATCACTCTTTGAAATATATTATTCCCTCACACATTATTTTATGCCTTTACTTCTGTAATTCATTTATATACAGAACTGTACCAAAATAAGTACTTTTATCAAATAAAGACCACTTATTGTTTCAAGTACTTAGAAATAGTCCTTGTCCAAACAATAGACTTTATTTTTTTCATTGACTAATTAAGCTTTGGAGTCCTCTAGTGAGAAAACTGTGATTTTTTTTTTTAAAAAAAACAATATTTAATGTCTAGAAAATACTAAACTAATTTTTTCCTACGCGAAATGTTTTAAAAAATGTGTAATTTAGTATGTGGTTTAAAAAATTGAGAATGTGTAACACTTATTTTAAGCTGCTTTATGTCCAGGGAATAGACTTGAAAGCAGTAAGATCTAGGAGAGCACACACTGATTTAAAGGACATCTTTTAGCTCTTCAGCTTTTTACTGGCTTGTCATTTATACAGTTTTCTTAATTTTTCAGTTCACAGAGAATTTTGGTCATCATGTAAAAGTAAAATATTTCCACTTTGTCATTGAAATAGTTGAATAAATCTTCCTTCGTTTGGTGTTCTTATCTTTTATAAAGCACTGTTGCAGACTGTATTCTCAGTTCTTGGCTAAATATTATTTCAGACAAAAATTTCCACTAGGCAGTTTTGTTCCATTTTCTAGACTTAGATTTTGACTTGAGTGTTCGCAAATGATTAGAAAAATCCCATTATTCAACCTTAGCAACATGCTTATGACAAAGATTGCAAGTAACTTTGAATTGCTTTTGTTTTAGCGCTTATGTGGCCTCCATTATTTATTCAAGGCCCACAGCTGTCGGGGATGCAGGCTGTGCCAGGAAGGGTATAAGCTTTGCGGTCATCTTCATAATGCTTACAGAGGAGTTCATGTTTTAATACAAGTGGAATCTAAATGTAAATGTAGAAGGGACCGCCGTTCCACAGACTAATACAAAGCTCATTTACTTAGAGGTCTTATTTCTTTTGTGTTTGCATTATAGGACTTGTTATCATTTTGACATCTGCTTATAGTGTGCTAATCTTGAAAATGCCATAAATATACACTTTAGTAACTTGATTTGTAGCTAACTGTGATCGTTTGTATTATGGCAGTCCAACAGATAATTTCTGTGATATTATATCCAACCTACCATTTTATCATTTATGAAATTCACTGTGCTCTGTTATTTAAGATTAATTGTTAATAGTAATATATAGATTTTATGGAAGAAAATTACATGCTGAGTACAGTTTTAATACAAAGAAAACAAATTAATGGCAAAATGTGCTTTTTGAAGATCAACAAATTAAATTCCTGAGTAGTTTGCCATAGAGATAAATAAAAAGAAGAAAAAGAAAGATGGAACAATTAAAATGCAGCTAACAAATGCCTGGACCCAGCTGTCCAAACAGGATTAATGGAGTGCATTAGGGTACAGTGAGTCATGTGGTGCTTTGCAAAATATCAACACGCACTGCACTACATGTTATGCCCAGTGGCACTGAATAGATGAAAAGAAATAAATACGTTAAACAGATTCATAGAGGCTTTTCACAGTATTAAAAAAGCAAATTTCTAGACTAAAAGAAAAAGCTTTATTTTAGTATTATGGGAAATGCAAACTAGAGAGTTACTTTGTAATGCCTCTATTAACCCTTTAGAATTGAGTCTTTGATTTTAAGAAGATAAAATATAGAGAATTGTCATGAATGTTATCCTAGTGTATAACGGGATTTTGATTTACTAGCTGAAAAGCTTATAAGACTAGAATAGAGGATGTATTTAGCAACCAAATTCCAAGCTGTGAAATTTTTCACTCTTTCTCATTGCCTCTCACAAGGAAGTCCTGACCCTTAGGGTGCTCTCATTTGCTCCTGTGAATTCAGCCAGCGTTCTCAGTTAAGTGAGAAATGAAGGAGCAAGGAAAATTATAATTTATCTGTATAAGTGCAGTTTTTCTCTTATTTTAGTAATTTTTAGTGATGATTGTAACTTTAATTGTAAATTGCAAGTGTATTGAATCCTGTATAAAATAATTTGGTGATATTTTTGCTTCAAAAATGAAAATGTTTTTTAAAAAATTTAATTTGCCAGCTGCTATTGCTGCATCATTGGTATAAACTATAGCTTTAGACTTGAATACCTGGTGTGATATGACAGATTTATTACAGAATTCCTCTGAAATAGCTTCTTATATTTAAATATGGAAGATTTTATACTAATTAAAAAATTACCACTAAGTAGATTTTACAAGCATATCACTTGCCACAAAGAATTAGGTTGTGAGGAGCATCTTGGCTATGTATTTTTAGCCAAATATAATTAATATCGATGATAGTTTTGTTGTCCATTGGAAACAGAATCTGTGCGTTACACTTTTTATTTGAAATCTTTAAAACCTTTTAAAACTGATGCCATGTCAGTGGATATGCTTTCCAAAACGTTGCTTTGCTGCCTGTTTAGTGTTCAGTTTTGAAAAATCCAACATTTGGGGGGATATGATGTCCTTATTTTTAGCAACCAATTTACTCTTTGGTATAATAGACTCTCAAGGTGATTAGAGGAGATGCTTCACAAAGTGAAAATGGAACAGGCTCTAACCTAATAAATTATCTATAGAGGCCCAGACTTTTCTATAACAAAATATTTTAAAGGCAGCAGTGAATTTTGTGAGAATAGATTTTGCGAGATGGCTGACATGTTCTTGGTTATGCTTAATCAAGAAACGACTGAGAGATTGGCAGTTTTTACATTGTTCTTTATTTGAAATCTCCTTTAACAGGAAAAATTTTCTCAGATGCAACCAATAGACTTCGTAATACTTTTACTAATTTCCATTTTGAAGTTATTTTTATAGTTAGTTGTATTTTCATCCTGAAATTCTTTCTGTAAATTGTAAGTTATTCAAGGCCCAAAAGCAGATTTTTTTTTTAATACACTTAAAACAAAAAACACTTAACCTTTCAAATCAGCTTGGATCTATTTTTAGTATTTCCATGTATTTCTCATCTGGGTCCCATATACTCCATCATCTTGCAGGATTTAAAGTGGATTTTTCTCTTTTGTTCCTTGAAGAAGGGACTGTGTTTAAAAACTGGTCCTTTGCGGGAGAGGTCTTTATTTGGGTTTGTAAATACGCTATTAATCTTTACCCTGAGCTTTCCCTCTCCAGTGTGAATCAGAAATAAATGATGCTTAGACATGACAAATGTGAAATTGAAGTATAAAGCTTAATATATATTCCTAATTATGGCTTTGATGTAAAAATAATTCTAAACCCTGTATTGAAAATTTCTCCACAAAAAAATTGTATATGACTTAATTATATTCTGTTATATTGCAGAGAGTAATAAATGAGTGGTAAAATTAACTTTTGATTGATTACTAATGTTCTTATACCTGACCAATAAATTTGTGTATCTAGTTAGGATTTTTAATTATAAAGAAAAAGTATTCTGTGTCAGATGTCTGGAAGAAGTCACAGAGTCACTAATGCTCACTCCCTCAACACCGTCGTTCCCCGTGTCCACTTGTCGTGTCCTTCTGTTGCTGTTCTTGTTTCAGAGCACATAGTCCTTCTTGCCTGAGGAAATGTCGTGTTGGCCACATATTCTAAATAACTTAGCCATCTGTTGACATACATTCGACTCCCTTAAGTTTTGATTTGTTATAAAATATTTTTCATATGAAATTAATTCCAGTTAGTATTATTTAGTTGGAGGGAGCCTTAAGATATAATTTTTTTAATGTTAAGAATTAAAATGTTACAATTAAAACTAGAACGTAAACTACAGTAAGGGTCTTATTTACATTAAGAATCAAGACCCCCAACCTGGCTGAGAATAGTTAATAGTACACCTATACATGGCCAACTCTGAGACTGATTAACAGATTATCTCCTTATTTATAGAAAATTTTATTTTTAAATTAATTTTTAAGTATGTACATGAATAACTTCTAATTATGAGGAATATTAAAAACAGACAGGCTCAAATTCCTTGTGACCACCACTTTTATTTTTATTTATTTTTTTAACATCTTCATTGGAGTATAATTGCTTTACAGTGGTATGTTAGTTTCTGCTGTATAACAAAGTGAATCAGCT